CTGTTAGAATTGTAATACAATGGTTGCTGATGACACGATAAATAAATACACAACAGCAACAACAATCCTATCTCATCAGCCAAAAGCAAGCCCACACTTCCCATTGAAATATCAATAATTTTATATTTGTTAAAATTGTTTTTCATTTTAATTATTGTATTGTTTTTAAGTGCCTTTTCACTACAAATAAGATATGTGCAGGGTGCATAGGAATTCATTCATGTTTATTTCAAATTATAATCTGGCCCTCCAACAGTTTAAGGGACTGTGACCTGGCCCTCTGTTTTAAAAGTTTGAGGACTCTGTTTAAAAAGTTTGAGAAGAAGGTCTTAACCTGCCTGTGGAGGCCAGCAGGAATATCTTGGCTTCTTTAGGGAGGGAGTTCCACAGTATGGGGACAGCCACCGAAAGGTCCCTCTCCCGTATTAACACCAAACACGCTTGAGCGGGTGGTGGGACAGAGAGAAGACACTTCCCAGTAGATTGTAGATGTCTACCAGGTCCATAGAAAGACCTCCCGCTATGAACCAGTGCGGGCTCTAAGATCCGCCCGGGGCAGCCCTCCTCTCGCTTCCACCACTGTCACAAGCACAATTGGTGGGGACGAGGAGAGGGCCTTCTCGGTGGTGGTCCCCCGACTTTGGAACTCCCTCCCCAGGGAGATTAGGCAAGCCCCCACACTGTCCTCCTTTCATAGTTATTTGAAAACCTGAATATTTCAGTTAGCATTTGAGAACAGATAGTCCCTAGTTATAAATGCCCAGTCCCTATGTCGCCTGATAATATTTCATTCTCTGCACTTCATCCAATACCCTGGCCCGATGGTATGCTGTTTTCCACCGTCCCATGCCCGGCCCTTTTTATAGCCTGGTCATGTCCATTGTATTACTGGTTATTGGTTTTGTTGAACATTGTTTTGAGTTTCAACACTGCTGATTTATTTTCTTATGTTTTATATAATTGTGTTTAAATCTATATTTTACTATGTTTTTATTTTAATTGTGTTTTTGCTTTAATTGATTGTTTTGCTTTTATGTCTTATGGATGTTTTGACCCATAGGCTAGCCGCCCCAAGTTCCTTCGGGGAGATAGTAGTGGGGTATAAGAATAAAAGTTATTATGATTATGATTATGCTGACACAAAAACAAAATATGTCACAGCAAATGAGATATATATGCTGGGTTTCGTATCACAAAATCACAAGTCGAACACTTCCCAAGCGTCTAGGACTGTGTGATGTATTTTCGAATGATGCGTGCAGATCAAGTAAAGTGGCCTTTTGCAGTTGACAGAGCGTGATTTTGTCAATGTTTATTGTTTCCAAATGCCAGCTGAAATCTTGTGGCACGGCACCCAGTGCGCCGATTACCACCGGGACCACCTGAACTGGTTTATGCCAGAGCCTTTGCAGTTCCATTTTGAGGTCTTTATAATGGCTGAGTTTTTCCTGTTGTTTTTCCTCAATGCGACTGTCACCTGGTATGGCGACATCAATCATCCAAACTTTTTTCTTTTCCACAATCGTGATGTCTGGTGTATTGTGTTCCAAAACTTTATCAGTCTGGATTCGAAAGTCCCACAGTATTTTTGCATGTTCATTTTCCACTACCTTTGCAGGTTTATGATCCCACCAGTTCTTTACTACTGGCAGGTGGTACTTGTGACATAATTTCCAATGAATTATTTAAACCACAGAGTTGTGCCTCTTCTTTGTAGTCCGTCTGTGTGATTTTCTTGCAGCAGCTGAGGATATGGTCCATGGTTTCATCAGTTTCCTTGCACAGTCTGCATTTTGGGTCATCAGCTGATTTTTCAATCCTGGCCTTAATTGCATTTGTTCTGATGGCTTATTATTATTATTATTATTATTATTATTATTATTATTATTAAAGAGATACGGTCCTTCAGATAACTTGGACCAGAGCCATATAGGGCTATTATTCCATTTTAACAGCTTTGACTGCATCCTGTGGAATTCTGGGGATTGCAATTTAGTGAGGCCCAAGAGTTCTCTGGCTGAGAATTCAAAATGCACCTTTCTAAACTGCACATTCTAGGATTCCCTAGCCTGTTTCAATGCCCATTAAAGTGGAATAATAGCATTATAAAAGATAGTGTGATAATGTCTTCAATCAGCACCAGGGACTATTCAAAATGAAGAATCTGCCCTTCCAATGAATTTAGTCCCTTTAATAGCTCCTTTTACATTTGAAAATAAAATCTAAAGCAGATTTACTGCACAAACTGTGACATGAAAGGTCTCAGTATCATCTCTAGTCTCAATAACATTCTTATGGTATGATTTCGAGAAAACATTGGAAATGTCCTGTGGTCGCTTTACCCTCCCCGTTGGGAAGGCCTGCCTTGTATGGAGGCATCTCACCTCATCAGAGAATGGGGCTTAGGAAGCAGCTGATCTCCCAGGGTCTTCCATGAGCTGGATAGGGCACTCTTGGGGTGGTGAGACTTTTCTCCCTGTTCTATCAGAACTCAAAACATCTCTTATAGAAAGAATTACATTGACTAGTAGGATTTTCTGCCCACCATTGTTTCTTCATTGTGCTGGAGAAAAATTCTGCTGCTTTCATTTCCTCATGGAAGGAGAACTCTAGAATTGCTCGTCTTGAGAAACCTATATTTGAGACTCGGGACAAGATGGTTTTCTCTGTCATTTGGTTTACATTACCTTTGTGCACTGGATTCTCTTTAGCCACACTCAAAACACATGACTTTTCTCTCATTCTTTGTCCTTTTGCTGCCAAAGCACAGGAAGGGGAAGAAGGTTGTCTCCAGCCAAAAAATTGGATGACCTGATCTATGCGCTTTTTCCAGCTGATCACTGACATCCTCTTGTGCTTTTGCTTTCTCCATCTATCCAAAGTAAAGGAGATTGCTGCCATCTAAACAGGGAAGGGCACATAAAATCAACTTTTGCCAAACAATTTCTAAGTAACGCAATAGAGATGAATGCTAGATAACACAGAATCATAGAATCATAGAGTTGGAAGTGGGCCATCTAGTCCAAGCAGAAAAATCATGTTCAAAGCACTCCCAACAGATGGCCATCCAGCTTCTGTTTAAAAGCCTCCAAAAAAGGAGCTTCCACCACACTCCAGGACAAAGAGTTCCACTGCTGAACAGCTCTCACAGTCAGGAAGTTCTTCCTAATGTTCAGGTGGAATCGCCTTTCTTGAAGTTTGAAGCCACTGTTCTGCATCCTAGTCTCTAGGGCAGCAGAAAACAAGCTTGCTCCCTCCTACCTATGACTTCTCCTCACATATTTATACATCTATTTCAACAAACCTCAATTATCAGGAGATAATGCCTCTAGAACATGGCCATATAACCCAAAAAAACCCTACAACAACCCTGATGAATGGAACTTAGCCATAAACGTCATTAAAAGGACTCAGTGGCAGTGACTGTGTTTTCTCCTCTCACCACAAAGACCTAAGGGGTTTTGCTGTATATGGCTGTGTGGAAGAACCCTTAGTCTTTCAAAGGGCCCTTCCACACAGCCCTATATACCAGAATATCAAGGCAAAAAATCCCACATTATCTGAGTGTGGACTCAGATAATCTAGTTCAAAGCAGATATTGGGGGATTTTCTGCCTTGCTATTCTGGGATATAGGGCTGTGTGGAAGGGCCCTTACTCTAAAGTGCCATACCGAAATGAGAAATGGTTACCACTTGATGCTGTAATTAAATGCTACAGTTTGTCACTTCCCTCTTATAGTATCATAAAGTCTTCTGTTTGGGTAGTGAAACTCTCCCTTTAACATGACAATGAGCTGGAAACTAATGCCCTTCCACACAGCTATATAACCCAGAACATCAAAGTAGATAATCTACAATATCTGCTTTGAACTGGATTATCTGAGTCCACATTGTCATATAATCCAGTTCAATGTGGATTTCATACTACAGTGTGGAAGGGGCCTAACAGTCATAGACTCATAAAACCTTAAGAGTGAGAAGAGTCCCCAAAGGCCATCGAGTTCAACTACTTTCCATGCAGGAATCAACAAAGCACCCTTGAGAGAAAGCCATCCAGTCTCTATTTAAAAACCTCCAGAGAAGAAAACTCCACCACACTCAGGGCCACTGTATTTCACTGTGGAACACCTCTTAAAGTCAATGCTTTTTTTCCTTTTATATCAGGAGCGACTTGAGAAATTGCAAGTTGCTTCTGCTGTAAGAGAATTGCAAGGACGTTGCCCAGGGGATGCCTGGATGTTTTGATGTTTGACCATTCTTGGAGGCTTCTTTCATGTCCCCGCATGGGGAGCTGGAGCGGACAGATGGAGCTCATCCACGCTCTCCCTGGATTCAAAACTCTGACCTTTCGTTATTGAATTATTGAGTCCTACATTGCCCCACTGGGGGGCTCCTAAGTCAATGTTAATGAATGCCCCCTCTGCTCAAGAGACCACTTTAGGAATGGCCAAGTCTGGGATGAGAATCTCAAAAACTTTGTCTCAGAATGGCTGAGAATTGAGAAAAGCAGAACAGAAGAGCTTGCATGTGGTGCAATCTGGATAAATTTTTGATATTCCTGGATATATATATATATATTTCTTTTCAGAGATGCTGCTAGGACTTTGGAATCCATGAATTACATGCAACTGTTACTATCTCTCTTTGAGGGGCCATTTGTGTAATGCCTTCTCAAAATGATATATAAATTAATAAACAAACAGGTGCACTGTAAGCTTTCCAGGGCCATCTCTCTTCCAAAATACTTGCCTTTTTAATCATGTGTTGCAGTCAATACCTTTTAAAATTATGTTTTATGATTTTAGTTTTATTTTAATAGCTTTTTACACCACTTTGATATTTGTAACTATTAAGGAGATATTTACGTATTTTAATAAATCAGAAACTTAAAGCAGTTCCACAGTTCCTCCAGTATGGATAAGGAGAAGTACAGCGCAGAAGAGTTTGGGTTCCTCTTTCATTTACTAGTCTTAGCATAAAAAAGAAGGAAGCCGCTTCTGGAGTTCCTCACACAGCTGAGACAGAAGCACACATACATCATTAAGAGGCTTGTTTGCCTCCTACCCTCTTCCAGCTATGGACATCTTTCATTCCTTGATTTTCATTTTTTGGACATGTTGGGTGCTAGAATCTCATCCAGTTCAGCCTTCTTCTGCCAGCGGCTTTCAGGAGTGCAAACAAACCCTGGGACGTCCAGCACTGGAGGTTTTCCCTGGAGGTGGTTGGGATAATCTACAGAATCTAGCTATGGGAAGAGTGATCAGTCTGAATTACTCTTTGTGCAGAACTACAGAAGATGGAGCTTACCTCATTCCCAATAATGTCTTCACCATTCCCCTTAAAGAGACCTTCCTGGAGCTGAACTCTGAAATCATAGAGTCTTGGATGGATTATCAGTCAGCCACCTCTGCTTCCATCAATGCTGAGCTTTCCACTTCTTTTATCAATGGCAAATTCTCCAGTGACTTCCGCTGGATGAAAACCCACCAAGTGAAGGACCAGGCTGTGACCACCAGAGTTCAAGTCAGAAATCGGATGTACACTGTGAAGTTTGATCCTGCAGCCACATTTGATGAAGGCTTCCAGCAGCAGCTTCTAGCCATCGCTAGCCACCTAGAGAACAACCAGACCCGAGCAGCTGACTATTTGGCAGAAATCTTGGTGTTAAATTACGGCACTCATGTGATCACTGGTGTGGATGCTGGAGCCAGTCTCATCCAAGAGGACCAAGTCAAGTCCACCTTTGTGAAAGACAGCAAGTCCATGAGAAGTTCTATCACAGCTGCTGCTGGAGCCTCTTTCCACAACATTGTAAACTTCCAAAGTAGCCTTTCAGTAGGCACAGATGATTCATTCACCAAGCAGTATGAAGCCAACCGCACCAACTCTAGGGTGGAGAGCATTGGGGGGTTGCCTTTTTATCCTGGTATTACCCTGAAAACCTGGCAAGAGAGTATTCCCAACCATCTGGTAGCCATTGACCGTTCTGGCTTGCCTTTGGAATTTTTCATAACCCCAGAAAAGCTTCCAGGATTACCCACACCCACCGTGAAGAGATTGTCCAAGACTGTAGCATCTGCCATCAGTCGCTATTACACTTTCAATACTTACCCGGGCTGTACCAATGCAGCTTCACCCAACTTCAACTTCTATGCCAACATAGATGATGGGACCTGTGAAGGGGCAGGGAACAATTTTACTTTTGGAGGAGCCTATCAAGTGTGTGCTGAGCTGGAAGGACCTGATGCTGCCACACTCTGTGCAGGTCTGGCACAGAGGAACCCACTTACTGGAGGCTACTCCTGCCCCACTGGCTATATTCCCATCCAACTGGGCTCCCAAGAACTTGAGGAAGGCTGTAACCACTGGGACTGCCATAATAATTGCTTCGTTTGGAAGCTGTTTTGCAGGAGGTCTTGCAAGGACATTTTCACACTCTCCAAAGTGCTGTTTATCTCCTACTGGTGTGCAGCAACAGGCATAGTCCCCGAAAGCTCAGGATTCCTCTTTGGGGGTCTTTTTAGTACCAAGAATGCTAACCCCATGACCAATGCTCAGTCTTGTCCCTCCATGTACTATCAGCTGAAGCTTTTTGACCAGCTCAAAATCTGTGTCAGCCGTGACGAAAGGGGACAGAGGTACTCTGTGCCCTTTGGAGGGTTCTTCAGTTGCCAGGTAGGCAACCCATTGGTGGGCTCCCACAATGGAACAGATAATGACCCATATCCCAAAAGGTGCCCAGCAGGATTTAGTCAGCACTTGGCTCTGATCAGTGATGGATGTGACGTGGAATACTGTGTCCCAGCTGGGCGCTTCACAGAAGGGTCTCTACCTCAAGCTCGCGTCCCACCCTTCAGTCGCAAACCTATCATAAACCTCATTGATACTGACACCATCCTGGTGATGAATAGCAACGATGGCCAAACCTGGATCAAGGACTCTCAGACTCATCTGTGGAAGACAGGCAACCCCAATGAGGTGTACCATAGTATGAAGACAAGTATGACTACTGGTGAGAGTCTATCGAATGGAGAGGTAGCTGGGGTTACTCTTATTGCCACTGTGGGCTTGGTCATCCTGATTAGCCTGGTGATCTGTGGGTGCAGGAGGTACAAGAAGAAGGGGTACCATGAGATAGGGGAAGACGAGAGTGCCATGATCTCTGGCAGCCCTCCTTATGGCGTCGGGAATGAAACAGTGGAAATATCACAACAGCAGGAAAGTCCAATAGTTTAGAGATGTGTGTGCTTATGCATATGATCTTACTTATCTGTACCAGCCTCCCAACACCTGAAACCTTCCAGTTGTGTTGCACAGCAAGCCCTATCATCCCCAACCAAGCCATTTCGATGGCCCTAGTGGATAAGGATGATGAGTTAAACCCAACATTTCTGCAGGGCACATGGTTGAGGAAGGCTGAATGATACTGTCTTCAGATGTTTTGCAGTGGGGCTTTGTAGAAACTGTTATAAGAATAATCATGAGCTTCTTTCAACTATCTTTCCTCTTTTCCTTAAGTTTTCTGAGACCAATACATTCAACCAGAGGGGAAGAGGGAGGATGGGGATGAGACAGAATGTACTTTCCATGAAATTAGGAATCAAAGCTTAGCAAGATTACAACCCCCAGAATCCCATCAGTACAAGGGATTCTGAGTTTCAGTCCCAAAAGTAACCTTCCCAAACTCTATCATAGGAAGCTACCTTATATCGGGTTAGACCATGGAGTCCAATGCAGCCTGTTGAATTCTCTACTAATCACCCACCCACCCTCCAGTTTTCTAGATAAAGCCCCCAATTTTGCAACAAAAAGATTTAAAGTATTTTATATGTTTAAGGACTCCTGAAATACTACAAGCAACCCAAAAATGGCAGCGCATTCCTGGTTTACATGACAAGCAGCTGTTTGCCAGAGTTTCAGGCAGGCATCTGGGTCCACACACAGGACTAGGTCGGGATAGGATATGCCTCTGTTCATTTTTATGCTTGTTCTCCTGCTTGTGAGTCAGTACTTCAAATAAAAGTAGAAGCCGCAACATCATGAGACTCATGGGCATTCAGATGAAAGAGGTACTTTGATCCCAGAATACTTCCTGTTCCATGAGTTATCTGATTGAAAGGGTGGGAAGATCACTATGGGTGTGCAGCTCATCCTGGAGAAGGGATTCCTTTCTGTACCCTCTCTTGAAGATTTTATTTGAAGACAGCATCCTTGGTTGAGGATCTTGATTTTCAAGGACAACTCCCACAGGCTGTGCCAGGTTCAACACAGACGGAAAACAGTGGCTACCCATTTTAAGCTGCTGACAAAGTCTTTGCGATAGCTTCAGGTTGTGTTCTTGTGCATCCAGACTGACATACGAGGAATTAGCAGTATAAAAGGAAACCTGCATCCAACTAGAATGGTGCTGTTCTGGGTAGACTCTGCTACAGGCTGACACATTGGGCACAGCACTTTTTCATCAAGTAAGCACCATCAGAATTGTTTTAGCAAAAGCATGGCCTGATAGGGTGGCCTTGAGAAGTTGCCACAGCAACTTCTCAAGAACTTACTTCTGCTCTATCTCCTGGAGAGCATCCCTATGTGGCCTGAATGTGTATTGAGATGTATATGGAGGGTCTCTATGCTGGTCACTTGTCATTCACTAACACACAAGACGAGCAGAACACATCACAGGATTTCTGCTTTTATTGCTCCTTCTACCATCAACTGAGCATGGGAGAAGCTGCTCTTTACATGTGTCCAAAGGATCTAGGACAGTGGTTCTCAACCTGTGGGTCTTCAGGTGTTTTGGCCTACAACTCCCATAAATCTCAACCAGTATACCTGCTGTTAGGATTTTTAGGAGTTGAATGCCAGGTTTAGAACCACTGATCTATGTGGTAATACTTTGGCAAGAAAGTTCAAAAGTGGTGACTGACCCAAACTTCAGGCAAGACAAGCCAAAGTTGTCTTGCCCGAGATCCTACAAATCCATCCTTGGGGGAATTGGTGTGCAGCCACATCCAGAGAGCCGTTTTTTGCTCGTCCCTGTCCACACAGGAATCTTGAGAGGTTACTTCCCTGCCCCTTGCATCCCGCTGCATCTTAAGCCCCACTAGACTCCCTTTGCATGTGCCCAGCATGTATATCCTTTAAAATTTCTCTCTACTATCCTATCATTTTATTAGCATTCTCAGTACCTGTTTAGCTACAATTCTGTGCAAAGATTGCACAATCTGCTAGCCCAGCAGAGACTGCCAAGCGTCCTTTTGCTTGAGTCTCTAAAGCAGCTGAACAATACAACTTGACAAGGACACTTCCTCTCCCTGCTTCCAAATGTAAGATGGATAATGATGAAGTCAGTCTCCGAATTCTTACATTTTACAAGCAGAAATGTAGAAGTGAGAGCTGAGTAAGTATAGGACCAAACCCTAGTGTTTGTAGTAACACTCACTAGAATAGATTTGTGAGAGAAGGGCTTAGCTAGCTGTGGAAGGAGCTACTGAGAAAGACGGCATGCTTATTGTCACATGTCCCTTTAAGCTTTGAGGGACAGGAAAAGCAACGGAAGAATGTTCAGGGAGAGAATTCAAAGTAACTTAAAGGCTCAGCTCTTGTTCAGTCTCACAAAGTACTGAGAGGCAGAGGAGGAAAAGCTGAAAGGGCTTTTGATCTTTCCACTGGAGTTTCTTCTTCTTCCCTGTGCCCACCCCACAAGCGAAGCTTTCAGTGCACAAAGCTGGTGCATTAGCACAATTTTTATTCTATTGAGAATTATTCTGGCACGTTCAATCAGTAGCCAAGACTCCATTAGGGGAAGGCATATCCTCATGGTGAGGGAGGGAAGGAAGGGTGGCAGGAAAATGAACTCTTCCACCATGTGTCAAGCAGCCTGCCACTCATTTGTCTGCAAATCACAGGTTATGTAATGTATCTTAAGAGTCTGTTTTTATTTGATCTATTAAAGTCAACTCCATGTAAAACAAAGTATTAAAAGTATATCTCAAAAGACAAAAATATGTGCTCTTCTTATAAACATATCAAACAGGCTGGACAGGAAGTGACACAAATGTCTTATAAAGAAGCTTTGGAAAACAAATAATGAGCATCCTAGATCTGCTTCAGATTGCTTCTGCACTGCAATACAGTTTCATGGTTTTGATTTGGTAAGAGGATCCGTTTTAAAAGACATGGGAAAAGACTCAGGGACTTGGATCTCATTTAAACAAAGACCGGAAGTTACAAGCAAAAGGCAAGTGGGAAAAGGACTCCTACAACTCAAATCACAGTCTAAGATCCTATCCATCTTTAGTATAGCATAAATAAACACCAGCATAGTTACACTGAATTCCACAGAGGCTGAACCAAATCTGTAAGGGCACCAAGACCTTGAGCTCACCTACTACAAATTGGAAATAAATCTAAGTGGACCAAGTCAAAAGTAGGCAAGAGGGCTCTGTGTGAGTGTCTATGTGTGCTTGCAGAAACAGATTGCATTAACGCACTCTAGAATACACAACTGCTTGCTCAACTCTTTTTGTGCTTGTGTAGAGCCCAATGGAATTAATAAAATAATAGAATCATAGAGTTGGAAGACACCTCGTGGGCGATCCAGTCCAACAGATTTTTTAATTGAAACCTTGTGCAATTGACCTTGGAACGGACTCAGACCATGAACTTGGATGGCGTGTTTTCTAAGTTTTTAACTTTTAAAATCTGTTTTAACTGTTTAATATGTTGCAATTTTTGAAATGTTTAGGTGATTGTACTGAGGCACGACGTTGTACCATTATAAGCCGCCTTGAGTCCCCCTGTCGAGGTAGAGAAGGGCGGGGTACAAGTATGGCATATAAATAAAACCCTCTGCCAAAAAGCAGGAAAATTGCATTCAAAGCACCCCCGATAGATGGCCATCCTGCTTGTTTAAAAGCCCTCAAAGAAGGAGCCTCCACCCCACTCTGGGGCAGAGAGTTCGACTGCTGAACAGCTCTCACAGTCAGGAAGTTCCTCCTAATGTTCAGGTGGAATTCTAACCATTGGCTGTGTTATGTGCTCATTTCAGACTAAATGTTTTTGGATTTCTGCAAATGCAAACCCTAGAGTTTACTTAAAAATAATATGTGAAAATGTTCCTGAACATATTTACTGTAATTTGCTTGGTTGCTAAATGCAGTGAAAGCCGATTCTCTGAACGACTTGTCTTGTGGCAATGTTTCTGTAAATCCCACTGATTCTGTAGGTTTCCTCTAATTAGGGGTAGCAACTGGATTTACTACAAAAGAATGCTTTGGCAAATAAGGGGGCAACAAAATGAGGGGGGGGAAAAAAACTAGGATGAAGTATGTAGAGGAGTTACAGAGTAGTAATCATAAGATAGGAACGTGCAACCCTAAACTTAGAAGAGTACAACTCCCTCTTTCATATTCATTTCTATTTTTATTTTGGCTGCCACAGAGGCAGGAATCCAAAAWCTGATTATAAGAAACAAACAATCCAAACTTTGAAGCTGCGAAACCAAAAGTGGCAAACCGTAGGCCACACAAGAAACCCTGTTTATTAAGGGCACAATTTTGAGTGTATGTTTCTGAATGAAATGAAAGAAGATCCAATTTAGGGCCCTTCCACACAGCCATATATCCCAGAATATCAAGGCAGAAAATCCCACATTATCTGCTTCGAACTGGAATATATGACAGTGTGGACTCAGATAACCCATCTCAAAGCAGACATTGTGAGATTTTCTGCCTTGATATTCTGGGATATAGGGCTGTATGGAAGGGCCCCGGGTTGCTGGTTACATCAAATGAATGGATAGGGTTTTTCCATCCTTCTTCCTGATAGATTTTGCACTACTGATCACTACATATGAGGCAGACATTCAGCTAGCCTATAAAATTACATCTTTAGGCAGAGGGAAAGTCTGCTTCACGTCGTTTCCATTTGTTATGGAGCTATGATCAAACTAAGATCTCTATCAAAAGAAAAGGTAAGATAAATCTTAGGTAGGTAGTAGTAAGGTAAAGGTTTTCCACTGATGTTAAATCCAGTCATGTCTGATTCTGGGGGTTGGTGCTCATCTCCATTTCTAAGCCGAAGAGCCGACGTTGTCTGTAGACAACTCCAAGGTCATGTGGCCGGCATGACTGAATGAAGCACTGTTACCTTCCCACTGGAGCAGTACCTATTGATCTACTCACATTTGCATGTTTTCAAACTGCTAGGTTAGCAGAAGCTGGGGCTGACAGAGGAAGCTCACGCCGCTCCCCAAATTTGAACCTGTGACTCAGTAGTTTAACCCACTGCACCACGGGGGGGGGGGGGGGGTGTCCAATTATAGACTCCCAAAACTGGTTTCAGACTCAAATTTTACTTTGTTCCTTCCTCCCATTTGATACTTAATGTGAGTTTTTTGTTCTCCAAGAAATGCAAGAAGTCCAGCATTAGGTCTCAGCATTGTCTTTTCCCCAAGGTGTGTGAAGCGGCTTTCCCTTCAACTCAGATTCCTATTAATATTCAAGTTCGAGGTCAGCTTTTGTTGCAATTGAAACAACACCTCCCTGTGGCATTTTCAAAGCTGTTGTTCTCCCAGTTCGGTAAGAGCAGACACACTCACCTGCTCAGGAAACAGAAACAATGAACAAAAGACAGACAAACAGATTGAGAGACACAAACACAAAACATTCTCCAAGCTGGCAGTGGAGTTTTCCTTTTATTGTTACACCCTCAAGGGTGCCATCCTCAAACAATGCAACGAACTAGAGACGGGCAAAACGCACCGTTCACAAACAACAAACAAACAATATACAGCATGGCTCCCCTGCAGCCCCCTCCCAGCCCACCCACAATACCACTATCAACACCCACGCAACCTGCTCTGGGACATGACAAGGACAAGAAGGGGGGGAAAGGACCCGTCCCATCATTCCCCGTGACAGTGCCACATCAGGCTGATTGATCATTCTCAATGAAGTACAAAATTATTAAGAGCTGGAGACTTAAAGAAGAAATGAATCAGCCAAAAGAAAGCGAAATAAAAGCCAAGTTGACTCCCTTCAGCTGGGAGATGAGAGTGGCTAGCCCACGCATGGGCAATCTTGGGCCCTCCAGGTGTTTTGGACTTCGACTCCCACAATTCCTAACAGACTCAGGCCCCTTCCTTTTCCCCCTCAGCCGCTTAAGTCCAAAACACCTGGAGGGCCCAAGATTGCCTATGCCTGGGCTAGAAGGTCACCCTTCAAGAACCCTCTCCTATCCTGGAGGCTACGTCCCCACTGAGAGGATGCCATGGCTACTCTAGAGGGAAACGATGACAACATCTCAAAAAAGGAAAGAGAAACTTGCTTGTGATGGGACCGTCTATTCCTTGAAATCACCACTTGATCACACCAAATTTGCTAAAGGGAGGATGCGCGTCTCTGTGAACCCAACAAGAAAAAAAATGCCTGGTTGAGAGTTAATGAAAAAGGATGAATATCCCTCTGTATGATGGAAGCCAAGGCATTTCAGATCTGGTGCTCTCCCTTGGCTCCTTGTTACTATCATTAAAAAGTAACACTGGTAAAGATTAAAGAATGTGCCCTTAGGGGCTGCAGAGTTAGGAAAGGACAAGTAGGACATTATTTCAGCTTCTCCATTTAAGGCCTAGAGGGAATGATTTCTGAAACCAATTTAGATTTTCAGAAGGAAGCTGGCACGTTGTAATATTAACATGCTCTTCTTAAAGAGAGTGCTGCTGAGAACCTTGAGGTGACACGGACCTAGAAGCTCCATCATTTGTCTCAGTAGCTTTGAAGGTGTGCTGCAGACTTAACAACCCTTGTGATGCCTCCGGGCTCCTCTTCTCCTACACACACACATACTACTACCACCACCAAGCTGGGCAGGCATCCAGTCACCGTCACAAACAAGCTCCTTTTTACTCTGTTTCTTTCACTCTGGGCCCTTCCACACAGTCCTATATCCCAGAATATCAAAGCAGAAAATCCCACAATATCTGCTTTGAACTGGGATATCCGAGTCCACACTGCCATATATCCCAGTACAAAGCAAAACATGTGGGATTTTATTCAGATGTGGAAGGGCCCCCACAATATCTGCTTTGAACTGGGTTATCTGAGTCGACACGCAGATAATGTGGGATTTTCTGCCTTGATATCCTTGGATAAAGGGCTGTGTGGAAGGGCCTTCGTCCCATTCCTTCTTTCATCCAATTCTGGCTCACAAGAGATTTCACCTGGGTTGTTAAGATCTTTAGAAAGCCAGCGAGCCCTTCCACACAGCCCTATATCCCAGAATATCAAGGCAGAAAATCCCAAATTATCTGCGTGTGGACTCAGACAATCTAGTTCAAAGCAGATAGTGTGGGATTTTCTGCCTTGATATTCTGGGATATAGGGCTGTTTGGAAGGGCCCTGGGTCTTATTTATTAAAACACCAAAGAAAGAGAGAGATAGACACTGACTTGCTACAATCTTTCCAATATGGCTGCTAGTCTCATTTCTGTACCAGGGGTTGGTTACGTGCTACCTTCCATCTGTTCTGGACTGCAGCTTCCACAATCATTGGTTGTTGATCATGTCAACTGGCACCAACATGGCTTGTAATCCAGCACATTTGGAGAGTACCAGGTTGCCTTCTTCTACCTCTGCCATGGCAAACTACATCAATGGTAGAACTTAGCCTCCAGCCCTAACTTAAGTACCATTGTGTTACACATCCTAACCTTGGAGTCTTCCTCATACATTACGCACACATATATAAATATATACATACATATGACAAATCCCCAAAACATGAGGTAAAATCAATTCAAATCCATATCCAGGGGACTTCCCCATACAAATAAGTTCAAAGAACCCACCTTGGTAGATGTGGGGCAAAACCACAAAATGTCTCGCCCTTCACCATCTCCCTAACTCCAATCACTCTAATCCATAACAGAAACAAGATCAGACATGAAACAATCCAACAAGGATGCAATTAACAGAACAGAGAGAGAATGTTTGGGACACATGGCTCTGTATTGGTCTCGAGATCTGACTTTAAAACCTAACCAAGTCAGTATTGCATCAGGAAGCCCAGCAGGGTCCAGCAAATCCAGCTGCCAGGAGCAAGAAATAGTTTTGACTTGGTCTGGAACAGACTGGCACAAATTCTGATACACAAAATTCAAGGACGCAAGAGGCTGAGTGCTCCTGCTTAAGGTTTGGTCCAAAGACCACCTGTCAACAAATATGTTTACTTCTGCTTTAGCTTGTTTCACAATGTACAACAGAGACTTGCATATACCTGGCCTAGTTTGGAATGTATTGAAGAGAAGAAATTTCCAGCCTCTTTCCCCCTATACAATTGGGACAGATCCTAGCAGGAAACAGGACTGCTTCTTAGCTTTCTTCGACAGGACTGGGTGAGGCAGCCAAAGAACGCATGGGGCTGATGGGGAGGGAAGTATCAGACCAGCACATCTCTGACTCACACGGTGCCCAGGACATGAAAGTAGCAGTGACATGACAACATTCAAGCAGGCACCTAGCTGAGCAAGAGAGAAGACAACGAAGACTAGGACTGGTTTTAATCCTCAGTGCTTTTGGAATGGAGACACTTTACTGGCTCCTGATTGGTACCACCAGATTCCTTATGGGACTGCCTGCCCCCAAGGCATACCTTGCTTTTCACATAATCTGATGTGGGATTCAAATTTCCCCAGACAAAGATGTCACCAAACCCCCAAGAAGGGGCAAGGCCAGGTATCTGAGCTACAAATATGAAGCTGCTTTAAGGTTAATATAACCTCAGGCCTCATGAGGACACTCCACCCCATGCTCGAGATGAATGAGGGGAAAACTCTCCCAGGTTTGTTTGCTCTGGTAAGCCAAGGGCAATGAGGGCTGCATGGAAGCAGGCCAGCAACTCCTCATCTGAACAAGCCCCCAAGCAGACCGCTGCAGAGGCAGACCTGGACCTTTTAAGAGGCAGATGGCGGCTGTGGCAGGAGGAGGAGGAAGAGAGGGCAGAGCAGGCACAGTGGAAAGAGGAAGGAGCTGGCCCATGGAAAACTGCTCTACCCGCAGCTCTGCCCCCAGGGCAATGCCTCCCTCCTCTCCTCCCACTTTCAATCCTTTTCCTGAGCCACACTCTCCTCTGTAATGCCTTGAGCAGCCAGCTCAGTCAGCACATTGTCTAGATAGTTGGGATCTGGGTAGCCGTGGCCAGTGAGATTGGAGCCAAATTCTGTCTTGTGGTGAATCTCATTCCAGATCACTGTGTCGGACTCGCCGGTGGTACTTGAAGTCCCGATGGCAAAGATCAGCCGCCGATCCCAAGCTACTAACAGCAATTTCAGCACCTGCCGGAGAGAAAGGGTGTGCATTAGAGGAGTTGCTTACAAAGCCACCATGACATACTTATTTATTTATTTACTGTACTTATACTCCGCCCTACTTACCCCCGAAGGGTACCTCAAGGCAGCTTACAAAGTATGGCAGTAATTCAATGCCAGATTCAAACAATAACAATAAAACATAATATCATAAAACTATATATATAATCATTCAGATGATTAAAAACACATCATAGGTCTAGCACCAACTCAACGTAATACTTTGTAAACATGAAACCAATTTCTTCATTGTTCTTATACATACTTATGTGTCATTAATCTCCAAAGGCTTGCTTAAATAGTCAGGTCTTTAGATTTTTCCTGGAGCTTAAGAGTGAGGGGGCTGTTCTGATGTCACTGAGAAGGGAGTTTCACATCCACCGGGCCACCACCGAGAAGGCCCTATTTCTCGTCCCCATCCATCGTGCCTATGATGGGGGCGGGACCGAGAGCAGGGCCTCCCAAGATGATCTTAACAATAATGCCAGATCATGTGGAACGCCCTTCCTACCGACATTAGACTAGCACCATCTCTTATGGTATTCCGCAAAAAAGTGAAGACCTGGCTCTTTGAGCAGGCGTTCAAATAATGAGTGCAATGATTGGTTAATGATCACTGGAATGGATCAATGGATGACGAATCTGGGTCATGTTTTTGATGATGAGACGATAGTGAATGGCTATTGTAGTAATTGTTAATTGTTTATTGTTTTAATCGTGCAATGTGTTAAGTTGATAACTGTTTTTATACTGTAACATTGAATTCTGCTGTCTCTTCTTGTTGTGAACCACTGTGAGTCGCCTTCGGGCTGAGAACAGCGGTATATAAGTAAGGTAAATAAATAAATAAATAAATAAATAAGGTAAAGGTAAAGGTTTTCCCTTGACATTAAGTCTAGTCGTGTCCGACTCTGGAGGATGGTGCTCATCTCCATTTCTAAGCCGAAGAGCCGGCGTTGTCCATAGATGCCTCCAAGGTCATGTGGCTGGAATGACTGCATGGAGCACCGTTACCTTCTCGCCAAAGAGGTACCTATTGATCTACTCCTATTTGCATGTTTTCAAACTGCTAGGTTTGCAGAAGCTAGGGCTAACAAAGGGAGCTCATCTTGTCCTGGGGATTCGAACCACCGACCTTCTGGTCTGCAAGTTCTGCAGCTTTGCAATTTCATCCGCTGCACTATTGAGACCCCTATCAGATGTAACCTTCCTGCTAAAAATAACTGTAGGGAAAGCTTGCTTGGAATGTCAAGTCAAGGATTGTTTCAGGTAAACTGGGTCTCCTCTACACATGGGACTTAATCTGTTTTTTAAAAAGAGGAGTATAGCATGTTTCACTAACCTGCTGCCCTGTCTCCTTGTCTAAATCTCTTTTTTTCCCCTCCTATCGTTCCTTAAACTTTTTGTATTAATGCCATGTATTATAAGGCACCGTGCACTGCCATTAAGTTAACAATTAGGGAAAGAAGATGTCATGTTTTAATTCAACAATATCTGGGCTTCTGAAACATTATCTGGCACAGCTTCAAAACCAGGCAATGCTTCTAAATATATCGCAGACAGTAAAGAGCTCTTGCTCCAGGGCTGAGATTCAACCTGCTACAAAGGAAGCAGAGCCTTTGTTTGAACCACAGGGACCTTTGAAAAAAGGCAGCCCAGGGGTTTTGTTGGAACTGTGGCCACAGATTGTTATTGAGGCAGGCACAGGAAGTATTTGGTCTGAACTCCAAACATTAAAAACACCCTGCTGGGAAGGGAGTTGCATACAAATAGATTCAGTGTAAACTCATTAATGTATATGACAAATGCTCTTGTAATACCTCAGCACAGTATCTCCCTAGCTAATCACTCTGATCAATTACTGCCTCTATTTAAGTCAAGGGAAAATAAGATTTATGACAATATTCTAGTGATGTTGCAAAAGGAACTAAGAACGCTTTTAGGAAGAGTATAAAAGCCATCTGACATAGCAAATCAGCTAATCCTGAATTTGTAAACTACATGGGAAACTGCATTTTCATATAACCGCACAGTGAACTGGGAATCTTTCATATCACACAATTCTAGCATTATCTCTCCCCTTTAACTGCCATGGAATACCAGGATTTATAGTATCATTAGATTCCATATATACTCGAGTATAAGCTGAGTTTTTCAGCCCTTTTTTTAGGCTGAAAAGCCACCCTCAAGTTATACTTGAGTCAAGGTTATTTATTATTTTACTCTGTTGTAATTATTAATTCTATTACATTTATCATTTTACTCTATTATTATTATTATTATTATTATTATTATTATTATTATTACTACATTATTTTACTCTATTATTACGTTTATTATTTCACATTATTATTATTATTATTATTATTATTATTACTCTAGTTATTATTGTTATTTTTACATTTATTATTATAGTCTATTTTTTATTACATTTATTATTTTCCTCTATCATTATTGGTAGGATATACGTAAGCACAGTTACACTGAAGGAGGTTAGAATAATGGTTTAATCAGAGTTGGACAGTCTTATCTTCAATTACAGTTTTATGTAAATATTCAAAAACATTCAACCTACTGATGCCCCAATTAATGTAATTTTATTGGTATCTATTTTTATTTTGAAATTAATCAGTAGCTACTACATTTCCTACCCTCAGCTTGAGTCAATACATTTTCCCAGGTTTTGTGGTAAAATTAGGTGCCTCGGCTTATATTTGGGTCAGATTATACTCGAGTATATACGGTAATTCAGAATTCTCGAACAGAGAGCTGTAGTACCTCAAAAACCTACAGATCCTAAAATTCCACAGAGTGCAACCATGGCAATTAAAATGGAATCTAAAGTGCAATAAATGTTGTAGTGTGACAGGACTCAAGGGAAACAGTGAGATACACAGGCCACACTAGGGACTGCTTTACAAAGTGATGAGGCAAATGTAGATCTTCTATTTCCATGGGTATTTCTTTTCATACTTCAGGACTACTGTTAAATCAGGGAAGCTTTCAATGGATACAACTTGAGTCAGAGGATAAATGTCTCTTTGATACGCTGTCCTTTACAAAAGGACACCTGATATCCAGTCAGCAATACAGTGCTTACTGAGCAACCTTGACCTACTCACTATCAGCTTAATGCCGTCAGAGGACTCTTCTATGGGTTTTTTGTTTAATAAGCAGGAAACACAAATGTAAAACAACCGCTGCCAATACATGGTTATCAATAACTTACAGTACTTTGATAAAACTTTTCAACCATAGTTTTCCTCTAAGTGGTGTCTACAGGCTGGGACACAATGTTTAAAAAGGTAGCATGCTCAAAGTGCAAGCGCATGAGAAATCTAAAGATGGGAATTCACTTGAGATGCACCAGAATGAGCAACATTGCAACATTTTCACATCTAGGTTGCTGTGAGTTATCTGGGGTGTATGGCCATATTCCAGAAGCATTGTCTCCTGACGTTTCACCCACATCTATGGCAGACATCCTCAGAGGTTGTGAGGACAACCTCTGAGGATGCCTATTATAGATGTGGGTGAAACATCAGGAAATAATGCTTCTGGAACATGGCCATACAGCCCGGAAAACTCACAGCAACCCAGTGATTCCGGCCATGAAAGCCTTCCGCAACACATTTTCACATCTAAGCGTCTTGATATCAAGAATATGGGACCAGAACAGCACTCCAACCAAGTATTCTACATTTAGGATACATAATTTAATTTGATGTATAACAATGATCCTTACCTCCCTTCCAACCACACCTATGACCTAGTCATTTTTAGGGAAACACAATGCAGCCCCTCTCTTTACTCATTCATTCATGTTAAATTGTATCTATACTTTGCCTTCAAAAACACCAGGGACTCTGGGCAGATGCAAAAACAACTTTTAAAACAACATAGAGATAAAACTTTTAAAAGAAATTAAAGTAATTACAAAGACAATCTAAACGAATCCTTAAAAATAATTTTATTTATTTATTTATTTTATTTACTTTACTTGTATACCGCAGTTTCTCAGCCTAACAGGCGACTCAACGCGGTTTACAACAAGGATAAGATCAATCAACGATATACAATTTAAAACCATAGAAGCACAATATACAATATTAACACAGCAATAACAACACAATGCATCTCATAGCTAGAGTCGTGATCCAAAATTCGTCGTCCATATTTTAAGACAATTAGAACAACCAGAATAGTTTTGATCATCCATGGCCATGTAGAAAACATCAATTTAATTGCTCGCTGGAAGCTCAAAACTGATAGAATGAGCCTATCTTCCTTTCGTAGAGAATTCCAGTCAAGGTGCTGCTACAGAGAAAGCCCGATCATGTATGCCTTGCAAGGGATATACCACAGGGTTTCCATTAAATGGTATCAAATTTGGGGAAAGTTCACATGAGTTATAAATCATTTCAAAGGAAATCATGATCACAGTTTCTGTTTACATGCCTCCACTTGAGAGCAACAGTAAGTCTGTATTAAGATACCATACTCAGTGAAGCTGTCTATGAGCAAGGAGACAAGGGCAAGGAGACAAGGGCAGATTAATCCAGGTCACAACACAAAAAGCAATGACAATTCCCTTGCCTTGGCAGAGATGACAATCCTAGGACAGTCTGTTCCAGAAACTTCTTGGCAAACTTTCTTGACACCAACATGGAAAAGATGACACTTACCTTTCTACCTCTTTCACTCTCTGGCAGATAACAGTGTCGAGGAAAACCACGGGCAGTAAAACTCTTCCCAGGATTTGGGTGCTCTGGTCCCTAAAGGACAGAAAGACCAAAGAGATATATGAACAAAGCTCACTTTAAAGCATCCTTAAGTAAGGTTTGCACATGTGTGATTTACTATGGCAATGGAGGGGGACAATTCCGCCAATAAAGGTAAAGGTTTCCCCTTCACATTAAGTCTAGTCATGTCCGACTCTGGGGGGTGATGCTCATCTCCATTTCTAAGTCGAAGAGCCAGCGTTGTTTGTAGACACCTCCAATGTCATGTGGCTGACATGACTGCATGGAACGCCGTTACCTTGCAGTCATGTCAGTATTGATCTACTCACATTTGCATGATTTCAAACTGTTAGGTTGGCAGAAATTGGGGCTAAAAGCGGGAGCTCACTTCACTCCTTGGATTTGAACTGCCGACCTTTCAGTCAGCACATTCAGCAGCTCGTTCAGCACCAGCTGAGTCACTGGGGACTCCAGTATTATTAGTATTCCACCAATACTACTATGTCAGCGCACACTAGGGGTGATACCACATCATTCACCAGTTTTGGTTGGCTTGGGTTGAATCAATATGGTGGCCAAGTAAAAACAACCAAAAACCACATCTGTGCACAGTATGAGGTTTTGGGGCTGGGTTTTGGTTGGAAACTTTCCCAAAAGTTTGGCAAGTAAATTTGGGAGTGGGGTCTGGGGACTTGAGGAGACTCCAAGTGGTGTTTGGGGAGCTGCAAAAGTGGGTTTTGAGGATTGCTTGCCGCAGAACATTTCTACCCTGGTTGACAGTGTGAGAAAAATGAAGCTGATCTCTGAACTAAGGACTGTAAAATCTGAGGACTCCCCACAGTCCAGCGTATGCTTCTCACTACCACTTACACTGACATCCAATACCTATAACCCTTCCCCGCAGAGCACATATCTCACCTGCATCCCTGGTGGAATGTTGTAGATAATTCGGATGGTTTTACAGTCAAGGTGTCCAGGCAACGAATGGGGAATAAGGTGATACTCCATCTTTCCAGGAGGTTGGGTACCAGTCTTAACACCATAGATGGTTTTACAAGTTGGACACTGCAAGCTCCCATCCTAAAAACAAGATAAATAAGCAATGAAGCTTGAACATCAGAAAAAGATATTAAACAGCATCACTCTCAACATCCTGTGACCTCCATCAAATTCACTGCATGATCCAGCCAAATGGCTGCAGGCCTCTCCTTCACTTCTGCCTTACTCTCTGTAGTAACATACCTTGTTCCCATTGTTGTACATGGCCACAAGGCAGTGGAGATGATACATGTGGCCGCACTTGGAGAGCTTGCCCACCAGATCCGGCTTGATCACTGGCTGAGGTCCCTTGTAGCCTGAGGGGGCAGAGAGGCGCTCCATGCAGATGGTACAATCCTAAAAGAGGGAAAGGGAAAAGAACGCCATACTAAACAAAGCAGAAAAAATGCACATACTCAGAAACACTGCACTGAAGAAGTTCCTTGCCACAATGACCAAAGAGCAGGCCAGCTTAATGCCCTCCTTGGAAATGAGAGAGAAGTCTGTGTGAAGCTCATCTCATACATTGCTACCTTCTCCATTCCCATTACTCTCTTCCATCTGCCACACTGATTCCTGGTGCATACAAGTGTCTCCCCATATTCCTCATATATGTGGGGAACCTTTCTCTGGCCTGTGAGCCAAATAAGTTCCAAGCAATCCTGCTGGAAAACAGACACCAGCAGTGGAGCTTGGAAATGTTATTGAGAAGTGGCTCCCATGTTGGCAGTGCAATGAATCCATTTCAAGTTTAGCTGAAACTTTAAAGCARTGGTTCCCAACCTTTGGGCCTCCAGGTGTTTTGGACTTCAACTCCCAGAAATCCCAGCCAGCTTACCAGCTGTCAGGAATGGTGGGAGCTGAAGTCCAAAACACCTGGAGGCCCAAAGGTTGGGAACCGCTGCTTTAAAGAAACTATCCAAGATRTTCAAYCTATTTTGGGCACAGCACTGTGCACTGAGAKGAAGTGACCTTCCCCTTTCTCTTCTTTGAAGGTTCCTCCAMAAATATGCTTCTCCAGCAAGGTTTTCCTCAGCTAAATCAAGTTACCTGACCTTCCGCTCAGCTTCCCTTATTYTATGTTTCCCCATTCATTAATTATGTGCCAGTTCAGGGTTAYTTTCTGTGTAGATTACAAATGGAATGGACAGAAACTGCTTCATTTCAATGACCAGTCCTCTCCCAGTGCAAGGTAAATGTTCAGGAGTAACAACGAGAGCAATATTTAGACTAGTAAAAATGTCCTTGGAAAAATATTCAGGAGGAAAAATGGAAGGCTGAGATTTTATATTCAGCCTTTGCACTTACAATGTATGTGCTATACTGAGTGTGCACATATATTTAAAAAACTAAACTTACCTCGTCAGGAGGATGACGCACCTTCTGTAGATATTTTTTCAAAACTTCTTCTGGGGTTTTACCTGATCAGGGATAATGAAAGGGAAAGATCAGCATGTTGGAGACACAATTCCCAAGTCCATAAATGTGTTACAAGGTAGGGCAAGGAATGGCAACAAAGGATTACTATAAGGGGAGCAGAGCTCTTTGTTTGGAGATAGGGAACTGCCCTTCAGGTGTTGTTGGACAACAATCCATGGTTAGTCCCTTACCACAGATCATGCTGACTAAAGTTTGAGAAGTTGAAGTTCAGAAGATGAAAGTTTCCCTCTCCCCTATTTAATGTATCACCTGCCATCCCTATCTATTTTATTGTATAATTGCATCTGTCATATAATTGCTGTTTTGACTATGCTTTTTCTGTTTGGCATTTTATTGCATTTTATGATTGGATACAATTGTTGTTAAGGCTAACTCTCATTGGACATTGCCGGATTCTGATCTCTGTCACTCTAAACTAGACTCTAAACTAGTGTGCTTCCTGAAGGGGGAAATGGGATGGGAGTAATAGAATATACCATACTGGCCAGGAGCATCCTATACTGCAACATTATATATTAGCTATTGTCTATTCTTGCTTTAAAACTTCTTTCTTCCAGAATATTACACGCTTGTTTGGCACCTGCCACATGCTTTCTAACTTTCACCAAGGTCACAGTACAACTTCTGCTTTTTTTCCTATATGAGAATACAAACTCCAATTCCTCAAAGCCTTGATTTCACATACGAGGGTTGAATGAAAAGTAACGCCTCCACCCTCAGAACTCCTCAACAGATGGCAGTACTGGTATGTGGCAGGTACTGGCCTGTTCAGTAGACTTTCCTCTACAGTTCCATTTGGGTGGGAAGCCTTAGCATTGAATGGTTGTGTTGTTAAAGTGCGGCGAGTAAGTTTAAAGATGTTGAGGTGGGAACATATGACAAACAAAGAGTTGGACATCCTGTGACAGCAACCACTGAGTTTCACAAGCAAAAGGTTGACATCTTTAAACTTACTCGCCAACAACACACAGTACTCACATCAACACAAACACCATAAACAGCTTGCATTCTCTGATGAATCTCCTTTGGGGTGACACTTTCTGCTGTCAAGAATTCAATGACTGCACGTTGCTTAAGTTGCATTGACCGACCATCTGTGCAGGGTTCCACACTTCGCATTTTAACAACACAACTGTTCAATGCTAAGGCTTCCCACCAAAACTGAACTGTAGAGGAGAGTCTACTGAACAAGCCAGTACCTGCCACATCTGGTACCGCCATCTGTTGAGGAATTACGAACATGGAGGCATTACTTTTCATTCAACCCTCATAACATTGTAAAATGCAAGGTGGGAAAGAGAACAACCTTCTTTGAGCAGTTTTAAATAGAAAACCAACAGCCATCTCTGGCAGGAGGTTGGACTGCCTGTTCCTTGAGAGTCTCTTCCAACCCTTCGATTCTATGTGCTATTTTATAGTACGGTGAGCCTTTGGTATCTGTTGGCAGTTTGGTTCCAGACCCTCTGCAGATGCTAACATTTGCGGCTGCACAAGTCCCATGATATACAATGGCATAGTAAAATTGTATCCCTTATATCAGTGGTTCTCAACCTGAGGGTTCCCAGATGCTTTGGCCTTCAACTCTCAGAAATCCTAACAGCTTGTAAATTGGCTGGGATTTCTGGGAGTTGTAGGCCAAAACACCTGGGGACCCACAGGTTGAAAACCACTTCCTTATATAAAATGACAAAATCAGGTTATGCTTTGGGGCTTAAAGAAAAATATATATATTAAAACCATGGATGGCGGAATCCGTGGATATAGAGGGTTGATCATATATCGCCCTGAGCTCTTCAGAGGAATGGAAAGATATAAATATTTTAACAAACAAATAAATAAAGCAAGTAGCTAGCACACTATGCTGTAATCAAAACAAAATTATCCTTGTTGGGATACTGTTCTAAACCGGCCACTTGAAAATAGAACAAAATAGTAGAATAGACTAAGTTTATCGTCACTGTACGTTGTACAATGAAACTTAAATGCTTTCCCAGTGCACACCACAAAACAGTACACCCATCCCTCCACACTCCCTCCACCACCGCACAACCCCCAATGCCATATCAATGTGAAATCATGGAGTTCAACATAGCCACAGCTCTAGGATTTTGATCATGTGATTTTAATTGATGTTTTAATTCTATGTCTTTAATGGGTTTGGTTTTAATGTTTTTGTTTATTTACCAATGTATTAATATATGGCTTGCCCTAAGTCCCCTTCGAGGTAGAAAGGGGCGGGATATAAATGTGGTAAATAAATAAATAGGATAAAAGCTGTCTCCTAGTCTGTTTCTCCTTGCCTTTGTTACCCTGTATCATCTGCCTGATGGTAATAATTAAAAAAAAAAGAATATGCTGGGTGAGATGGATCTTCTGGGCTCTCTTAAGGTTGTGGGACTTATAAAGTTCTTCCAAAGAGGGGAGAGGGCAACCAATGATTCTCTGTGCAGAAATGATTTCTCCTCGAGAAATCTCAGGAGGTGATGTTTTTGGGAAGACATTTTTCTGGAATGCCAGCCTCTGATCAGGAACGTTTTTATTAATCCAGGGATAAGAAGCCTTGCATTCTTTAGAGGTTTTGAACTATTATTCCCATAATCACCAACTGCTGCACATTTATTGGGAGTTGTATTAAAAAAAACATTTAGAGGTCATCAGGCTGCCTACTCCACCCCTACACCCTGATGTGTGGGACTCTCCCTGGAAAATGTGAGTTCTCATGACAGAGCTACTTGTGCTTTGCCAGTTGTTATTACTCCATGGTTTACACATTCCACGCTTTTGGAGTGGGGGCTGTTTGTAGTAGTTTCTTGGATCTACATTAAGCCTTTTTGAGGGCTTTATTAAAAAACCTTTGGCTGTTGTCCTATAGTTCAATGGGCATTTTCCCTCTCTAAATTAGTTTTTATACAATTATAGTGCAGAAGTGTCATTTCACTGATACACTACAACTAAAAAAAAAACAACAGAAATGTAAGCAAAGAGAGTGGATCACATTGTTCTGTCATGTCTCAGAACTGAAAACCCACTGAAGGAGGGGGCAGAAAACACTGTAGCTAGTTCCAGAAACTGTCTGAAACTAGTCTTAGGACAAGAGAGATATTATTTGGATATTCAAAAACAAACAAACCACTGACAACAGCAGCAACATATGTCACAACCACCAAACACATGTCTCATTTTTGGAAGAGCCTCCAAAACATCTTGAGTATATCTATCCTTGAAAGCATTATAATGAAGTGGAAGGGAAGAATACCGGATAAGAAGTTATAAACATTCTGGGTTAACAGTCTATGCATCTGGAAAAATTATAGATGCACAAAACAGAACCTCCTAGATAGTGTGACTGAAGCCATACTGACAGGGAGAATTGGAGAGATGAACTGCAAAAAATATATATAATAATAATAAAAAAGAAGCCCCAAATAATAAGACACCAGTGAAAATGCTTAGGCTTCTGGTATCTCCTTCTACCAGATCCAACGGATGCATGGATTATTATCTGTCAAACAGATGTGAAGTCTTTTAGGGAATAGACAATTACGAAAGGCGAAAGGATCACAGACAGTACAGTATGCTGACTATGGTCAGGTTGCGAAATTATGAGGGGGTGGAGGATGTGTGTTAGTCAACTAACAGCAGGGAACATGTGTTAGGTAATGCAACAGATGGGAATCATCCAGGAGACACTTTTGGAAGAACACTGGGTTGGATATCTGCCATTGTCTCTGGCTATCAACGGATGCAGCCGCATACTGCTTTGGACAGAAAAGTGGGAGTGAGGAGGAAACAATGCAAAATCAGGCTTTTTCAAATGATATCTGGACAAGAGGTACAGCAAACCATGAAACAAATCAGCAAGATGGGGAAAATAAAAGTCTGTAAACTACTGACTGAAAATACAGGAATGTCCAGTGTGATCCACAGAGCTAAAAGCTGTTGCAAGGTTTTGAGTGGGCACGTTTTGGTTACCACAAACCATGATATGGCATGATTTCTGAACTGAGTTGTTTACTGCAATACGCCTGCTTTGTGCTACTGGCCCAATCTATGAAGATTGCTATGTGAAGGGCTGATAATTTTCAGATATTATAGAGGTTCTGTCATGGCCCTTTCGATGCCTTCAAGCTGCATACTACTAGAAGCACTGGAGAGAGACATGCAGGGGGAATATTTCCTGGTCTCACCTTTCTTGGTCTGCTTCTTGGTGGTCTTGCGGCAAGTATTGGAAATCCCAGGGATAGGTTTGATTTCACTCTTGCTGACAGGAGGGGGATGCAGAACCAGCTTTGGAGGCCGAGTGAGGCAAACAGGCAGCCCTGCAGCACTCATGAGGATCCCTGTGATTCCTGGGTGGAAAAATGGGGTGGGTCACTTGCAAGACCAGCTCCTTCTTACGCTTTCCCCATCCCAAACATCTCATGTACTACGTATCTATAATGGACAGTCTTCCCTCTCCATCTATGTTCCCTGTATCAGAATTATTAATAACACCAAATCCATTCATCCTCCACTTGACCTTGTTTGTAGGACTTCACAACCTTTTCACTTGTTTCACTATGTTTCAACTATAGCAGCAGTTACCAACCTTTTTTTGACTAGGGACCACTTCACCAGGGATCACTCTCCAACATCACTAGCAAAAGGATTATGAATCGGTTTTTGTCAGCTTTAGATTTGGTTTGGTTATTTGGGATGCTGATTCAGAAAACTGCATTGGATAGACCACATCAGCTCTAGTTTCTGATAGAGAAAACCATATTGATTAATCTAGAGCTGATGTGGTCTATCAGCAGCCCAAATAACCCAAGGAACAGGCTTAAAAACAAAGACACCAAGGCGCTCCTGCTTCCAAGTGCCACATGGAACGGCTCTGCTCAGGGGGAGGGGGGAGGAGAAGCAGCAAGCAGGAGGCTTGTTGTTGTGACTTTTGTGGGTAATCAGCCTCTCCATTCCCGACATCCCCATTGCCTCGGCACTATAAGGGTTTTGCAAGACCGGTCACTTGTTTTAACAGTGTAGTAATTGTGAGGCCGTTGACCATATTTTAGCTCTTGTGGACCACTGGTGATTCACAGACCAAAGGTTGGAAACCACTGAACTATAGGAACCTTTTCTTTCAGCCATTTCCAATTCTTGTAATGTCACAAAGTAAAGGGCAGAAAAGAAAGCTAAGACATCCTTCCTTGACCAGGACTTCTCTAGTTGTGTTGGACTATAAGAGCCATGTTTTTAAGGGATAATAGAAATTGCAACACAACACATATGCAGGGCACCAAGTTGGGGAGACTGACCTAACCACCTGCCATTCCTTCTGCCCCCCTCCCCAAAAAAAAGCCCTTTATAAATTCAGCTTTTAAAACATGTATAACATGGACAGCCTGAACTACAGTAAGGACATAAGCCTTTCCCCCAAGTTACTAACCTCATCCAGATGTATCGAACCACAATAAACACTATCCTCCCAAGCCTGTCAGATGCCTATTTATATTCATTTCTCCACAGCTATTCCACTCCCAAATGATTTATGAGACTTTTCTATCCCACATCATTGTACTATGAAATGGTTCTGCAATATATGTTACAAATAATTACAGGCCCTCTATGTGTCTCTTATTTAGGCCATGCAACTGTTTTGAGCCATTCAGGACTTTTCTTGTCACACAGGGATTTTGCTTCAGTTACCTGCCAGTGCTGGATTGACCGGGCTTGAGCCATTGAGATTTTTCACAGGAACTGTAGGGACCCTGTGAGGAAAGAATGAAGTAGTATTGTAAGACGCTTTGGAGCAATTCAACTTTGACACAAAATGCAGCACCTGCCAAGGACCAAGCAAACATGGAAGGAAGTTAATTACACCCAGATTCCAGAGGACACCTCAGACTCCCTCTAGAGCAGTGATTCTCAACCTGTGGGTCCCCAGATGTTTTGGCCTTCAACTCTCAGAAATCCTAACAGCTGGTAAACTGGCTGGGATTTCTGGGAGTTGTAGGCCAAAACATCTGGGGACCCACAGGTTGAGAACCACTGATCTAGAGAGTGGAGGTGAGGTACTGTGGGTGTTGGAAGATGGTGTATTACCTCTCCTGCAGATACTACATTCAGCAGGTGGACAAATTCCCTGTAGGTTTTTTTAATTCCCAGAGTAGTTTCTGTCAGGACCCTGACACCATTAAAAAGCAATATGTTCCCGATAAACTAGCCTGGCAGGTTACCAGTTAGCCTTGGGCTGGTAGAAGCCTGAGGCATAAAGACACTCCCTGGCAGAACAAGAAGACATAGTTGGGAGAGGCATGTTAAATATCTGGGAAAAGGGTGTGTGGGAGAAACGGGAGGACAGGTTTAGTGGAAGGGCAAGTTTGTGGTTATGACAGACATATGACTCCCTGAAGGGGAGTGTGTGCGTACATGTATGTATATGTGAAAAGAGAATCAAATGTATACTGGGAGAGTTCTTCCGACCACTGTTTTCTGCTTGTCTGCATGACAGAAAGGATTATGCACACGACTGACCATGCCAATGGTGGTGAAGAATGATAATGCAAACATTCCTGACTTTATCCAAGAACACTGTTCCTTTCTAAACTTTCATCCTAATACCAGAATCTGAGTGAGCTAACCCCTCTGTTCCAATTTGAGATGTGTGCCTACAGTCCCAACTGGGACCTAGTCTCAGCCAGCCATAACCAACCTCCAGACCCAATCAAAGGACCACTTCATAAATTAACAAACACAAGCAGCTACGAATATGGGTGGACCATGGATTGCACAAGTACTGTGTTAACACCCTTCTTCACCGTACTTACTTGCAGCAGATGTGAATACAAAAGTCATGGAATGTTGCTATCTGGTCCTTTAGAATAATAGAAGGGAACCCAATAAGGACACCCATATATAGAATAAGAAATGTCTACTAATCTTATCTAGATAGGCAACTGATACCTAAACAATTTTGGAAGGAATTGTAAAAACTCTTATTTTTATCAACAAAACAAGAAAAGAATACAAAGCTGCCAGTGAAGGGAAAGAAAAACATATTATACAGTGCCTCATCCTAGGATATCTGAAAGACCAATTCCTCCCATAGGAGGCTGCCTAAAATTTAAGATCATCAGTGGAAGCCCAATTCCACATCCTACCATCCTGTGAGGCTAGGCTGGAAGGTTTACATGAAAAGGCTTTCTCTGTAACATCATCTTCAGCTATCGCTCATGTCCGAATATGATTGCCTTCTAAGTGTAGTGTCTTGGCGGTGGCTGTAGAGACCTATTCTTAATCCACATGTTCTTCCACAGTGAGGACATTGATTTCCAGGTGGAAGGCAGTCCCAGTACCCAGACTGTGACATTGTCTTGCAAGGAAGGTTAGGCTGGCTCTATTCTTCTGAGTTTGCAGCAAGCAGTGGAGATAGTGCTATTTCGTTTGGCATTTAGCTCTTAAAATGCTAGGTGTCTCTTCTGTCTGTTTTCTAAACTGTCTGGATTTAGAATGTTTTGAATTTGGATTGTTTTTAATTGGTGTTTATGTAACGTTTTGAAAGTGATTTTATCAACTGTGCATCACCTCAGGGGCTCTGGTGGGTCTAGAGGCAATAAATAAATACCTTGGATAAATAATAACTGAACAGGGTAGTATGGTATGAATAAACAGCAATCCCACAATCCTTTTAAAATGTGTCTGTGCCTGACAGTTTCACATACTCCAATTTCATTGCTGCCATGCTGGGAGAGGCCTTTAAAAGCAGGAATTTGCCCACGTGTCTTAGAACTCCTTCCATTTAAGTTTAAGAAGCAACCCTTGCAAACTGGGTAATTCCTGCTGTCCTCGCAAGCCCAGGAGACATCAATGCATGTTTCTGGATTCTCATGAGCCCAATTTATGTAAACACACTGGCTTCAAATTCAAGAAAGTGCCATTTATTGACTGCAAAAATGCCATTTAAAAACAAACAACCCTCATGTTCCCCCCGAGACAAAAAAGGGAAGCACGGAGGCATCTGGGAATAAGGGGATCGATGGAAATATGCATGAGATGGCCGAGGCCTGAATTAGAGCCAGAGCGGGGAACCTTTCCAACTGGACAATAGTTGCCTTAGAGACAGGCCAGGGGCTAACAGGAGACAGAGAATCCTCTAATCTAAAGAGCGAGGCATTTCTCCACCCTCCTCCCCTGCTGGCGAGCCCTCTCCTCGCTGCGCCTTTCTCCTGATCTTTAGAAACCACGGTTGTGTCTCCAAGTTATTCACAAGGCCTTTTGTTCCTGGAAATATCGCCTTGGCCCCTTCCTCCCTTGCTCCCATCGATGGGAACGTCTTTGGGAAGAAGGGTCATGGGCAGCGAGGGGGAGAGCGACAGCAACAGAAGGCTGATGGCAAAAGCAGACAAAAGGGAAGAAGCACACTAATTAGATGGCCAAGAAAGAGTGTTTTGGTGGGGTGGGGGAGGCCGAGTGCTGGGGTGCCTTCCAGATCATCAGCCTGAAAAGATTTCTATAGGCCCTTTGACAGGAATCCTCCGCAGATCTGAAGGCAAGAGAAAAAGAATGTTTCACTTCCTCATTAAAATTCAAAAGGGGTTTACAAGCCTCCCCTATTTTATGGTTAAAGAGGTCTGTGGTATTTGCAGAAAGGCAGGAGGCAGCGTTTGAGAGAGGCTGGTGTGGGATGTCTGCACAGACAATCTTAGCTCTTCATTAGCAATTTCCTATCACATATGCAAGTCTGATTGCATACATTAACCAGCAGCAGAGAGCCCCAGGCACCCATCCTAGCATCTTCTGGAATCTCAGTTGGACCTCTCTAGTAAAGCCTATGGAAATCAGTTTCCTCTCTACATCAAAAACAGCTAAAATACAGAACACTTAAAAAATCACCCCATATCTAAGTAAAATATTTCAAGTTAGTTTGTTCATCTACTGACAAACCCTTCACAAATCCTGCAGAAGAACTGAACCTTAGCTTACCATTAAGATAGTAAACGTTTCAAATATGACTCAAGATAGAGTTTATCTCATCCTTGTCTATAATGATCCAACAATAAGAAAATGGTGCCCGAAAGACACCTCTGAAGACCAAATCAGACAGTTACATCTTCCAAAGGAAAGTTCAGAAGAGCTCTTTCTGTATAACAATCCCCAAATGTACCATTATAAAACAGCATCCATCAGACGAAGTGTGTTGATTTGTTGTAACTAATGAGCCGTAACCATTGCTACTATGAACTAGGGAGTTGATTCAGACTTGAAAATTAGAGCAGTTTGATAGCATTTTAACTGGCTCAATTCGATGAAAGCCTATATTTTGTCATTTGGTGCATGTCATGACCCTTTTTGAAGTGGACTGTGGCATGACATTCTGCAATACTTGCTGAATTGAACACTATTTGTGTCTTAATATTTGCACTAAAATGTGCGATGCAAGGCCAGAAAGTTATTTTTGTTCTTTACAATATATTCTGTCTACTTGATCTTTATGAAACAAATTGAAGTATTACAGATTTCTTTTCACTAATGAGTTGGACAAAAATACCCCAGCAGACAAATACAACAGACAATATTCTACCCCCACCACCACCACCACCACCAAACTACAAAACCCAGGATTTTGGAGGACTATGTCATGGCAGTTAAAGTTCTAACAAACTGTTGTAACTGTGCAGTGTAGATACACTTCAGGTTTCCTAGTTCTAGACAATATCAATGGACAACAGAAAAGCCTGATGTAATGATTAGAGCATGAGTGGGCAAAATCTAATGGATAGGGAAATACGCCAATTCATACAAGCATCATTTTTAAGGGGCTCTGCACACTCCATTTCTAATTGGGTTGGGATCAAAACTAGAATGCCTAAAACAGCTCTCACTCAGTGGCCTAACATGCCCCAATGGGCTTCATGTAGCATGCAAGCCACATTTTATCCACTCTTTTGAGTTAGGGAGTTAATACTAGGATCTGGGAAATTTATATCTTAGTCTCTTCTGAATTGTGATATTCACTATGTGACTTTCAACAATCATTCTCAACCAGATCTACTTCACTGAGCAGCTGTGAATATCAGTAGAGATTTGTACTACACCACGCAAAGGGGAAGTGGGATAGGAACATAGCAAATTAATAAACAAATATTACCCTGAGGCAATCAGGACACGGGATTGTGCAATGGCCAGGCGCTGCAGGTTGGTACGGTTCAGTGTATTAAGGCTGGCACGGGTCACCTTTCCATTGGCACCAGGAGGGCTGGCAGGAGAGTTCGCTGTGGTAAGGGCTGGTGTGCTGGCTGCCTGCCTCCGGCTCACTTGGGATGCCAGGGTTTTCAAGGAGCTACGCATGGTGGCCGTTCCATCTTGTGGCTTGTGAACTGAGGCTGGAGTCGGGAGTCTGCTGCTTCCAGAAAGAGAGACGGCTTTCCGTGGTGGTGGCTGTGGCTGCTGTGTCTGCAACTGCTGCTGGCTCGCTGCTGCCCCAAGCCCTCCATTGCTCCCAGAAGATACTGCTGCCTTGATGCTCATGACAAGGAGGCACTGTGGACAGGTGCAGGCAGGCGCAGGGGGTGTGCTGGCCACACCAGGGCTTGCTGGCCATGACTGGGATTTGGGCAAGGTGCCAGTGACCAGAGGGTAGACCATGTCAAGGCGGCGGCGCACCCGGCGTTTGCGTTGAGTCTGGCGGTTGATCTGCCCCATGTTGCCAAAGTCAATGATGTAACAGAAGCCAATGGAGGTGAGATCAATCCAGGGATGCTGTTTCTCATAGGCATGCTGGATGGTGATGCCCACCTCCATGTCATAGGGGGTCCAGGTGCCATTGTCATTCTCCCACTCCCATACCACACCCTTTCCTGGAGCTGAGGAGGGATCATAATAGCTGCGTCGCACTGGGCGAATAGTGCCTGCAAAGAGAGTAATGAGAAGAAAATAATGAGTGTCATGAAAGGAAAGAAGCCAGATGATTACAACTCTTGGCCGCCAGAGTATTGCTGAGGATGCATGGTAAATGCTATTTGAGGTCGAGTGAAAAAAGAAAGCCAGTGTAGTACAGAAGCTAATAATGCAAACCCCAAAGCCCTTGGCTTGAACCTATCTTCACTCACAAATTCACTAGGTACCTTGAAGCAAGCTCCGTTTTTTTTTTCAGCTTCAGCAACTCATCTACAAAGGGATAATACGGTCTACCTACCTTACAGGGATATTGCAAGGATTGCTAAGCTAATATATACAAGACACTCTGAACACACATAATGAGATGAAAGAGAAACCAAATAGATTATGAAGCCAGATCCTACATGAAGCACTTTTTTGCTTACAAAGGCTATGGCTGAAAAAAGCCTACTTTTTATGTCCAACTGCCATAACAGGGAACAAGATACTGACTGGAAGTTGACTAGCAGTCAGTCAGTTCTAATCAAAATGGGAAAGCTAACTTCTAGTCTTCGTTTTCACCAAATATTGTTTGGTCTAAATACACTACACCTAAGACAAAGATTGGAAACATATGACACCTGGGAGTTTTGGCAAAGCCTGCTATACCTTTGCCATTGAATTTTGGTGCTGGATTGGCCAAAATCACCTATGCCCCGCCCCACACACATAGTGGAGTAGAGAATATTGGTTAACTTTTAACCCAAAGGAAACAGATGTGCCCAACAGATGAAGATGGGGCCATGATGACACTATAAAAGAGTTTTCCACTTTTTTATTATTCCCCTTATACCAAAAGTGTATCAATGGCATATTGACCGTGTATTATTGTATACTGAGCACTCTGTGATATACAATTAAAAGTAATGCTCTCTATTCAAATGCAGCCATTATTTTGCTTTGGCAGTGTAGCAATTCTTGACTAGTGCTGCAGTGATTTCAAGAAGCACACAGCCTCCTTTTTCATATTTTGGTTTTGAAACAAGTTTCTCATCCTTATTGTCACTGAACAAGAGGAGGAACCTTTATACTTTTTCCTAAATACTATATTCTTATCAAAGAATGTCAACGTCAAATGCATAATCTGCATTTTGCTCCTCTTTTTCTATCTCTGTCACTTCACATATACATTTTCACAATTCAATGCTAAGTGCTGCTGAAATAATAACTGAACACTGCTGAAAAAGAGAAGAGAATAATCATTCCTATGAAAGAAAGAAACCCACTTCTATAGATGTAGGAACAAGAGACTCAAGAAATACATGGTACTCATCTGCTTCAGTTTGACAACAGCCATTTCACTGTTAGTATTAACAAATTATCATATCATCCTTAGCTTCTACAAGTGGTGTTTAGATAACCAAGGAAGGACTCCAACCGTTTCCTCTGACAAAAGACACTCGCAGCATTCCTGATAAAGGAATCACACCCAATGACAAATATTTGCACAACCAGCAGGAGTTAACAGCCACCACACTGTTATTCTTCCATTGCTGCTGTTAACCCTTGGACTTCCACAGCTGTATTGCCAAGAGTGCTTACCTAGTGAGCTTACAAAAAAACAGACATTCCTTCTGATATTGAGCTACATAGATAGGGCTTTTGTCTCTCTGTTTTGTTTAAAAATATCCAGCTTGATCTTCCTTTCTACTCTGAAAGATGTTCAGGAAATGATGGGTTTTCACAACACATTAATTATAGTAAACATTAGCAATAAAATCTCACGCTCACGATAGATAATATGTGGGTCCTCTCGGGGAATTACAAGTGCGCGTGATGTTCCAACATACAAAAACACACCATGCTACCACACAAACAAGGTAGCTAGAGCCTTCTGACACACTGCCCTATTTCATCCATAAAACTTGCTAATGAGATTTCAGGACTATTTCATCTATGCCCATAGAGTTAATGGGCTTACAGATAATCAGATTAGTTACATTCTGAAGTGCAGAATCCATGACTCTCATGTGTGGGGATTGGGTGCTTCCTAAGGAGGTGAAAGCAGATGCTGGGGGAAATACAAGGTCTTCTCCCCGACATCTCCAACAGCTCCACTTTAATCCATATGTGACACAGAGCAGAACTACACAGTACAAGGAAAACAAAGTTCCTACCACTACCTTGGCCTCAAAATGCTACAAACCAGAAGGATTAGAAGGACTTAACCCCTCCGCTCTCTACCACATCTTTGCTGCAAAGGACCCTAAAGTATGTTTTGAAGGCACACAATTCAGCTGAAACTAAGGTGGTCTGTGTTTACTTCTCAGTACTAAAAAAAACAACTGGGTATCCTGTATATGCTGCCTGGAATAATAATTAAATAAATTCCTTTACAGCTGGATCTGAAACGACAAAAAAAGGGTTACCTGAGTGTGTACAGCTGAAGCGAGAAATGGCTGGTGATGAATGATCTAAGCACCTTTTCCCATATCTATGTAAGTCTAATACAGATTTGGGAATACACGGACCATCAAATAGGTAGAGTGCAACATGCTATCCATGCAGATCTGTGTCCTTCCCTTGTCCCAGCTGCTGTGAAGCACAAGAGAAGTTGCACTGTTGCTGCTACTTCCCAATGGCGGGAGGAGGAAGGTAGTTCAGAGAGGGTCCAAGGGGAAAGGTGAGTGAGTATACTTTAGGAGGGAAGGTACTCTCATTTCTCTCCTACTTGGAGTTGAGACCAGTTCCATCTTTCACCTCTGAGATGTTGCTGTCACCCATTCCGACTAAGGAAGCAGGTGACTTCTCAGCTGTCTGGGGGATAGTAGGGTTTTTGATAAGATACAAAGGGCTAAAGCACACATAGGTTTAACTATGGCTCTCCAGGTGTTTTGGACTTCAACTCCCACAATTCGTAACAGCTGGAAGGAATTGGGAGTTGGGAGTCCAAAACACCTGGCGGGCTGAAGCTTGCCCATACATGGGCTAGAGTAGTCCCCTGCTCCATGTCCAAAAAGAGACAAAGGCATGTCACCAACTGAATGTTAGCCATGTTTGATGGCATAATACATATTACAAATATCATCAATACATCAGCTAGGCCAGGGAGCAAAAGATAAACAAGCTCCACATATTATAATAAATGGCACTGGAGACCATGTAACAATTCCCTATTTTGTTGGCTTCTTCAATTGTACTGCTACATAAATAGTAAGTGTAAACCATGGATAAATAATAAGGGGAAGGAACTTATAGAAAAGAAATTCCAGTAACCTTCAAATCTGTGGCTGTATTTTACACCAAACTGTATACCCGCCAAGCCCATCTACGTAGGGACTGGCTTCTAATCCCTTTTTAGGATCCAATTCAATTGACTGGTTCTACCCTTCAAAGTTTTTAACAGCTTCTGATTGGGATTTGTTCACTTAAATATAGCTGCTCACATCTAAAGTTCTTCTTCAGGGGCCCTACACAGACACAGAGACGTGAGGCATGTGGCCACAGGCATGACACTCCCACAATGGAATAGGTTAGTTCAAAGATGAGTGGAGGCCATCATTAATAAGTAAGCAAAATTTAAATTATTTCAATGTTAAATATATGTTTTATTATATTTAATTAGCTGAATGATTAGCACATGTTGGTCTCTGGTTGCTTCTGGAGGACCTTCTTGCGGCAACCCCAGAGGCACTCCAAGTGGCCAGATACTGGTCAAAGGACATTTAACCAAATACCAAATTTTCAAAATCTGTGTGTTTTTTTTCCCTTTTTCTTTTTAATCTGTGTGTTTGTTTTGCTCTGTTAGAATTGTAATACAATGGTTGCTGATGACACGATAAATAAATAGCACATGTTGGTCACTGATTTCCAATGCAGAATCTAAGATTTTTCGTTTTCTCACAGCAAGCAGTTATGTGGCCAATAGCTCCCAAGGTATCACATGCTTTGACCACCTACATGAGCAGACCAGTCTGACTCTTGACAGTGGACTTGCTTTCAAGAATAGTGATCGTCATACAAGGTCCTGATTGTCAAGTGCAGCCTTTCCCAAACTGGTACTTTCCCAAAGCACTGCACTACAACACACCATATCACACTATCCACTTGGATGGGGATGATTTGAGTTACAGTCTGACACATCTGGAGAGCATTAGCTTTGGAAAAGGTTCTCAACAGTAAGGGCAGAAGAAAGGAGAAACAATTCCTTCACTAGCCATTTTGAACTGTATTTATCTCCAAATGTCTAAACAATGCCATTGAAAAAGCATGATCCATCAGTGAAACTAATTAGGAGAAAGGGTTAAAGATCATGGCAAGTCAACCATCAAATGCAATTATTGTGACTGAACCCTTTGTTACAACAATGCTTCCTTTGCCTCCACTTTACAGGGTTTCAAAATTTCTGGGAACTGCTGAAGAAAGGCAAGCCAAGCAGAAAGCAGCATAAGAAAGAAGGAATCCAGATGGTCCCACATTCATACACCACAGTATCAAAGGGTTTTTATCTTACAGCAAATATCACTGATTTATTTAATAAGCTATAACAGCTTATTTAATAAGCTATAATCCTACTTAAATCCCATTAAAATGCTTTGAAGGTTAAAGAAGAGGCCTGCAAAATTGTGGAAAGAGGCAGGCACTGTGTGCACTCATACCTACACCCTTTTCTTCCCAGCCTCACTTCACAAGGTAATTGTACGCTCAATGCTGTAACCCTCCCCTCCCTTCCTTCTCCCACACATCAAATGCCTTAAATTTCCAGTCATCTCCCAAGGCCAAACAAGGTGTGATGGGAGCTGTCAAGTTTATTTTTCACATGTCTGCCAGATTCAAAGGGAGCAGATGATGTGGATCTAATTCTTACACTGGAAAGTCTCTCTGAGTGAGAAGAGCCGAGCCTCCCTTGCTCCTTCACTTCAACTTCAAATAACCCAGGTGCTTTTCTCCCAGGTGGGTTTCAATCTTATACATGTGGTAAGCCTAGAAAAAAAGGACTGAAGTGGTATGGGCTCTGAACAACATGCTCCAT